GAAGAAGAAGAAGAAGAAGAAGAAGAAGAAGAAGAAGAAGAAGAAGAAGAAGAAGAAGAAGAAGAAGAAATAAGTGGAGTAAATAACCACTGGTCATTAATATCACACAATATCAGTGCACTCAATTCACCTATAAGAAGGCACAGGCTAAGAGATTGGATGCGGAAACAGGATCCAACATTCTGCTGTTTACAAGAAAAACACCTCAATCACAAAGATAGACATCTACTCAGAGTAAAGGGTTGGGAAAAAGTTTTTCAGTCAAATGAACCAAAGAAACAAGCAGATGTGGCCATACTAATTTCTAACAAAATTGACTTCAAACTAAAATCAATCAGAAGAGATGGAGATGGACATTTTATACTCATAACAGGAACAATTCATCAGGAGGAAGTCTCAATCCTGAATATCTATGCCCCTAATATAAAAGCACCCACTTATGTAAAAGAAACATTACTAGAACTCAAGACACACATCAAACCACACACACTAGTAGTACGAGACTTCAACACTCCTCTCTCACCAATGGAGAGGTCAGTCAGACAGAAACTTAAGAGAGAAATAAGAGAATTAATGGAGGTAATGAATCAAATGGACTTAACAGGCATCTATAGAACATTCCCCCCCAAACAGAAAAGAATATGCCTTCTTCTCAGCATCTCATTGAATCTTCTCAAAAATTGACCACATACTCAGTAACAAAGCAAACTTCCACAGATACAAAAAATATTAATAACCACCTGTGTCTTATCGGTTCACCATGGAATAAAGTTAGAATTTAACAATAATTCTACCCGCAGAAAGCCTATAAACTCATGGAAGCTGAACAGTCAACTACTGAATCACCCCTGGGTCAGGGAAGAAATAAAGAAAGAAATTAAAGTCTTCCTTGAAGTCAACAAAAATAAAGACACAACATACCAAAATCTATGGGACACTATGAAAGCAGTGCTAAGAGGAAAGTTCATAGCTCTAAATGCCCACATTTAAAAAAAATACGGAGAAAGCTCACATTAGAGACTTAACAGCGCAGCTAAAAGCTCTAGAAAAAAAAGAAGCAGACTCACCCAGGAGGAGTAGAAGACTGGAAATAATCAAACTGAGGGCTGACATCAACAAAATAGAAACACAGAAAACAATCCAAAGAATCAATGAAACAAAGAGCTGGTTCTTTGAGAAAGTCAACAAGATTGACAAACCCCTATCCAAACTAATGATAAGGC